GGGAGGGGTTTGTGCGGGGAGAAGGGTGCAACAATGAATGAATGGAATCCCAAAATCTCTGTAGATGTTCACTAAAATGAAAAATAAACAACCTAAATTAAAAAAAAATTCTCATTAACCTAAACAGATACTCAATGAATCAACATTGATCTTCATACTTTGCTTATTCTGTATTTTATATAAGTGAGATCATATTTTTTCTTCTGTGATTCATATTTTAAATGTACATCCATGTGGCAGTATGTAGCATCGCTTTACAACTGAATATTCCACACACCGCTTACATATTAAATCTGATAAGATATTTATAGTTTTGATCTTTCATCTATTATAAACAATGTTACAATGAAAAGTGGTGTAGATCTGTATGTCTGAATGTCTCTTTTTAAGTCTCTTGGAATTGCTATCTATGGAGGGGAATTGCGAGTCTTATTTTAAGGGTTTTTTTCTCCTTTTGAATTATATTTTGAAAATTATAAAATACTTCTAATGCAAGAATACAGCATGCTCATGGATTAAAGTATTTATTAACACTGTGAAATAGTACCATACTAAATATCTATGCACTATCTATATAAAAATGATGAATTGCAAAATATAAAAAGCAAACGTTAACAGAACTGAAAAATGAAAAAGATACCTCCACAATAGTACTAAGAGACACCAACACACCATGCTCAATAAAAGACAGAGTTACCAGAAAGAAATTTAACAAAGATGCTGTAGAATTAAACCACACAATAAACCAACTTGGTCTCCTAGATATATATAGGTTAATGCAACCCAAAAAAGCAAAAGTATACCTTCTTCTCCAATGTTCATGGAATATTCTCCAGAATAGATCACATTTAATTTTCATAAATTAAAAACATAGAAATAAAACAAAGAAAAATTAGAAATTAATAACAAAATGATAAAAGGAGAAAATAACTATAGTTTTGGAAGCTGAACAACACCTTTCTTGACCATGAGTGGGTATTAGAAGAATTAAAAAATGAAACAAAATGTTTCTTGAAACAAATGACAATGAAAATACAACTTACCAAAAACCTCTAGGAAACAGCCAAAGCAATAAATAGAGGTCAATTTATAGCAATAAGCAAACACATCAAAAGGGAAGAAAAAATGATAAATGATTTTTTAACCCAATATTTCCAATGAATTGTAAAAGAATAGCAAGAAAACCTGACACCATCTAAAAAACATAAAAATTAGGGCAGAAAGAAATGAAATAGAAAACAGAAAAACAATTGACTCCATCAACAAGACAAGGAGTTGGTTCTTTAAAAACTAAAATTGACAAACCATGAGCAAAACTAATAAAGGAAAAGAAAGAATAGATACAAACAATCTGAATAATAGATGAAAGGGACAATGTCACAACAGAACCAACTAAAATAAAAAGGTTAACACTGGAATATTATGAAAAACTATACTCAAACAAATATGAAAACCTAGAGGAAATGGACAAAACTTGGAAACTTCACCATCTACCTAAACTGACACAAACCGAAATTGAACATCTCAACAGACCCATTACAAAAGAAGAAATTGAACAGGTAACAAAGTAACTTACAACAACAACAAAGGCCTGGTCCAGATGGTTTTACTAATGAATGTTATCAAACATTCAGAGAACTGTCACCAATTCTACATGAAGTATTTCAGAAAACAGAAAAAGATGGAATTCTCCTAGACTCATTTTATGAAACAAACATATCGTTGATACAAAGTCAAGTAAAGACACCACCGAAATAGAAAACTATAGGCCAGTCCACCATGGGTAACCAATTATTGCATTTGACACATCAGTGTTACAGTGTTCAGCTTCACAGCAACTATGAGTTTCCTCTGTACAGCAAGTGGACAGACCAGGGCTATACGACCTAGGAGAATGTTTGACCAAATACAATTAAGAACAGGCTGGAGGGCCACGGATTAAAGTCAAAGACTTGGGAGGATAACTTTCAGTCCACTAGGCCAACTGATCTATCTCTATGCTATTGTTGTTAAGTGCCATCTAGTCGTACGTGACTCAGAGCAACCCTATGAATGAAAGACCTGGACATTTCTATAACTTTCATCCTTTCTCCAGGTTTATAAGGGTTCCCCATGGTGAACAGTGTTTGGTGAAGCTCCCCAATTAAAACAAGCTTGGAAGCAGAAGTGGCATACACTTCCGAAATAACTTGCCTCCAGAAACCCTTTGAAGCTGGAGAAAGCATGAAAGTTATACAAGTGTCCAGGTCTTTTGTTCATAGGGTCACCATGAGTCACTTATGACTTGATAGCACCTAACAACAACATAGGCCAATATCTCTCATGAACATAGACGTAAAAATCCTGAATAAAATCCTGGCAGTAGAATCCAATGATACATAAAAAAAAAAAAAAAAAAATTAACCATGACCAAGTGGGATTCATAAAAGGTATGCAAGGATGGTTCAACATAAGAAAAACAATCAGTGTAATTCATCACATTAACAAAGCAAAGAACAAGAACCACATGATCCTATCAATTGATGCAAAAAGGACTTTAAAACAAAATCCAACACCTTTTCCTGATTAAGACACTCATCAAAATATAAATAGAAGGGAATTTCCTCAACTTAGTAAAAAGTATATATGCAAAACCAAGAGCCAACATCATTCTCAATGGAGAGAGATTAAAGGCATTCCCTTTGAGCACAGGAACTTGGCAAGGACGTCCATTATTATTTCTCCTATTCAATAATATGTCAGCTAGATGCAGCCTCAGGCTTCTTGAAGAGAGGCAATATGGAACTCTCTGGGTGCTTGTTGCTTTTTTTTTTTTTTTTGCCACATATGGGTGTCGACAGAGCAGATTTGCCAGATGAATTGGGGATCTCTGGCCCAGAATTCACCAGTATTTGGGCAAGCTGCAATGGTAAAATACTGTTTTTCATTGTTTTTTTTCAAACACTCTTCTAGGTCATATAGACCTGGTGGGTCCACTTGCCTGCCATATAGAGGTAACCTGTTGTTGCTGTGAAGCTGAACACTGTGACACTGATGTGTCAAATGCGTTAATAGTTACCCATGGCAGATAGTGTTTGGTGGAGCTCCCCGATTAAACCAAGCTTGGAAGCAGAAGTGGCATCCACTTCCATAATAGCTTGCCTCTGGAAACCCTATGAACCTGGAGAAAGGATGAAAGTCTCACAAGTGTTGAGGCCTTTTGTTCATAGGGTTGATATAAGTTGCCTACAACTCAACGGTATTTAACA